TTGATGTCTCTCAGAGAGTACAGGTCTGTATTCTGAGAGAGGCTGTCAACTACAGACAGACAGTCCGAGTCAGACTCCACCTCCATTCCAGTCACATGACTGCTGTCCAGACTGGCCTGTAACAGCTCAGCCTGCTGTGCACCACACTNAACGTAGAGTCACGTAAAAGCTTAACGTTAAAATGCCAGAACGATGAGGATTTCTGGGTGGGAGATAAAAACAGCTCTGCTGACACTAGATGGTGGTCTGTGAAACCAACAGGGAGGATGTTACTGTTGGTAACACGAGCTGTAAAAGCAGCAGAGATGTAAAGTCTGTCCAGCCTGGCCTGTAACAGCTCAGCCTGCTGTGCACCACACTCCTGTCCCTGCTCTGCCCCGCCCACTTTACCTACCTGACCACACTCCTGTCCCTGCTCTACCCCGCCCACTTTACCTCCCTGACCACCCTCCTGTCCCTGCTCTGCCCCACCCACTTTACCTCCCTGACCACACTCCTGTCCCTGCTCTGCCCCGCCCACTTTACCTACCTGACCACACTCCTGTCCCTGCTCTATCCCGCCCATATCAGTGTTTTCTTGACCAGCAGTTACCATGGTTACATGGTCTGCCCTCACCTCAGTACCTGTCATTACTTCTTCTTCCTCAGTAGCCACCTGTTCTTTGGATACAGGGCCTACGGATGTAGCTAAAACTCCGTCCTCGCCGCCCCGGTGCCGACCGCCGCGGAACCGGCCCCGCCGCTCCCCTCTCTGCCAGCAGCTCCAGCGGCCGCCGCTGAGAGCTGTCTGTGCGGACATGCGACCCGCTTGTGCCCCACATCTCCACACTCGAAGCACTTCATGTTACCTGAGCTGGCGTACACCAGGTAAAAACTTTCCTCGTGCTTCACCCGGAAAGACACCTCCAGTGTTTGAGCGGGAGAGTCGAGGAACATGTAAACCTGTCTCCTCAAAGACTGAACATGTTTCAGCTTGGCGTCCTTACAACCCAGACCCACCGACCGGAATCCACTCGCGAACCTCCCGAAGCGCTTCAGCTCTTTCTCCAGAGCTTCATTCGGGATGAACGGAGGGACTCCGGACACGGTGATCCGGGTTGAAGGCACCGCCAGCGGGGAAACCTGAACGAACTCTTCCCCTAGGTTTAGACCGCTCTCGATCAGCTGGATTACACAGGCCTGATCCTTTAAAAACACCACCACAGCTTTGTTCATACGGGAGGCGTACGAGATGTTGCCGTGGCCCACCTGCTCTCCCACCGCCAGCAGCACCTGCTCCACGGTGGAGCTGGGCCGCGGCACCAGCCTCACTCCATGTCTCAACGACAGGGACGGCGTCTCAGAGGACGCCATCCCCGCCACGAAACACGGAAAAACACCCAACAAAAACCACCAACAGTCACCAAACACTAACCAAACACCATACAATTAAACCAGTTACCAAACAATAACACACAGTAAGAAAAAAAGAAAGAGAAAACCGACTTTTTACCCGGAAAACTCACACACTCTCACCGACCTCCACTCCCAGCACACACTCAGAGAGAGAGAGAGAGAGAGAGAGAGAGAGAGAGAGAGACAGAGAGAGAGAGAGAGAGAGAGACAGAGAGAGAGGCCTTCAGTTCAGCAGCTGCAGGATTCTTCATTTCCCAAGAGACACATCCTTTCTTCTCTCTCTCTCAGGAATGTTATTATCTCTCTCTATCGCTCCATCTCTCTCTGAGTCTCGTGTTTCTCCGTCTTAATATAGTCGACATGTCCCACCCTGCTCTGTGTGTGTGTGTGTGTGAGTGTGTGTGTGTGTGGGGTTGTGTGTGTGTGTGTGTGTGAGTGTGAGTGTGTGTGTGTGTGTGTGTGTGTGTGTGTGTGTGTCGGTGTGTGTCTGTGTGTGTGTCGGTGTGTGTCGGTGTGTGTGTGTGTGAGTGTGTCTGTGTGTGTGCCTGTGTGTGTGCGTGAACCTGAGGTCAGCGTTTCATTGTTCTGCTGAGGCAGGGAGGGAGGGAGCATCCTGAACACATACACACTCTCTCTCTCTCTTTCTCTCTCTCTCTCTCACCGGTAACAGAATACAGCGACTATCACCGTGGCGATGAGCAGCAGAATCCCCATGGAGACCAGAACAGCCGTCACCACCAGCTGAGAGTGACTGGCACCTACAAACAGATCAGTCATCAATCAATCAATCAATCAATCAATCAATCAGCTGATCAGTTTCTCTCGTCAGTCATTTACTAAACAAACAAACAACAAGAGACTGTTCTGGTCTGAACACAGGAACCTCTGGAGAACCTGGTGAGAACCCAGAGGAACCGGACCTGAACCAGAACCTGGACCAGGACCTGAACACGGACTCGTACCGTCGGGCTGCGTGTTGAAGACGCTGGCGGCGCTGAACGACCCGTACCCGGCCTGAGAGCGAGCGCGTACTTGCACCTGGTACAGCAGCGCCCTTTGCAGCCCCGTCAGCACCACCGAAGAAGACCTGGAGGACACGTACTGC